ATCGCCGAAGGCACAAGGAAGGCAAAAGAGAAAGCTTAAGCGCCGAGCTTGGACCAGAGTGCTAAGGCATCTGCGCCGTTGCGATTGTTACTTCGCACACAAGTGTGCTACTCCACATTTCGATTTGAGAGACATCAACCATCAAAATCGCAAGTTGACAACCAGTGCTCCTTCTCATCGCCTGTAGCGACCAGATCAGGCCGTGCCAGCTTCAGAACGAGTATCAGAATTGTGCTTGCCTGCGCAGGCGTGGTGTTGCACAGAATGGGACAGCTGCTTTGGATGATGAGACGGCAGGAAGAAAGCAACCGCTCATGTGAATGTGCTTCCAACTTGCGATGCTACACGTCACTGGCACAAGCACCCGTGCATCAAGTATGCCCACATTGCTTGAGCCACGGCACAGACATATGCCAGAATGTCAACCACACGGGATGCCTGAATCCTTGCCTGAAAGCAGGCAACGTATTGAGTAAAGCATGCTGATGCCCGTGCCAGTGGGATCTTGCAAATCTTGAAAGTGGCGTGCTTTCCATATATAATAGGTGCAGAACACCATGCTCCACATGCAGGGCAGACACCCACAGCCAGGATAAAAACACATCAACAACATCAGCTTGCGAACCGAAATATCTTTGCACAAAGCTACCGCGAGGCGCAGAGAACATCTGCTTGCAGCCGAGTGTCAGTAGCGCAGCATTGAAAATAATCATCGTTGCCTCAGCCACATCTCCGCTATGTTCATGGGCGCCTGCTCTGTTCGCCTTCACTGCGACGTGGACAATCTGGGGCACCGGCGCTCATTAAGATCCAGAAAAGCAAGGCCGCCATAATCTGGACAGAGAATATAGCCTTGGTAAGTCAAGCCTCTCTGCGACTCTACCTCTTCCCTTACGTCTAGTCTAGGTGCTGCTTGGCTTCGTATTCGGCCCCTTCTTCCCTCATGCATTCATGGGATGTGGCACCCGATTCATGGGGCCGAGCTGTGGTGTCAAGCCAAAGAAGTGGAACCAACCCAGTCCTCCAGCTTTCTCGGTTGACTTAGCATGTTCCCACACCACCCACATCCCGGGCCAGAGCGGACTTTTATTGACTTCCAGTTCTCTCCAGAAACTGTGCTGGCCATAGCCTTTCACATATGCAGCACACACTAGAGAACTTTCTGTTTCTCTTCGGCTTCCACGAGTTTCAGGACAGGCAAACTTCCCTGCTTCGCGACTTCTCCTTTTTGGCCACAATGTTTCCTCCTGGTTCTTTCTCGACAGGGATCAAAACACGAAGGGCCGGCAGACTCTGGAGCTCTCTTTCGAACCGGGCTTGCATCCAGCTTACGCCAGACCCATAATTCCTCCCTCCGTCCCGAAACCGCTCTTTAGCCGGAGCCCGGCTTCAGGAGTCTGTGGCCTAGGCAACGTGCCCTTCTATCGCCCGCCATCAATCACCATACAATCCTGCTTCGTGAAGGCAACCTACCGACTGGAGTCATGCATCCCAACACACCCAACCAGACAAAGAAAATTCCCTGGACACACGCACTCCCACAAATGCGCACTTCCCAGCAGGAGTGAGGGTGGCAGGTGCTTCTAGATCCTCAACACGTTAAGAATGCCAAGTGGCTGCCATTGTTGCAGACGGCGCGTCGGCCATGTGCCGAGGCACTTTGGGGATGAGATCAGACTCTATCTGTGTGTCGGTGGGATGGGGTGGGTGGGTTTGAAAGAGGCCGAAGCAGGCGAAGCTCAGAGTTCAGTTTGCAACGGATCTCAGCGCGCATCAGCCCAGAACCAATATTTCGTGGTGCAGAACCCTTAATTGTTTGGAAACTTGGGGTATTTGGGCCTGAGACCGAAACCATTCAACAGAACCATACATTGAGTATACGAGCCGAAAAGCTTGAGGAGTTACACGCAATCAGCCAAGCTGTATCCTGCGTCGAAGCTGCTCGCAGCTGAGGGCGGGACCCTTTGCCATTCGTCACCACGTGCAAAGCTGCTCAAAACGGTGTTCAGAGAGACCTATGCTTGCGTGAACACGGCGGCTCCGGTATAACACATTGTCGAAAACAGAACATGGCATAGCACGGACATACCCTTGGAGCTCTATCGTCAAATTCTGCACCCTTTGTTCTTCTTCAGCAATCTGCCAGTGGATGCTTCCAGCTCTTGAGGCGAAGCACGGTGTCTGGCTGAAGGCCTGCAAAAGCTCAGAAACGATTTTTTGCTTCGATTAGAAGAAGGGATCACGAAGCAGCTCGATCCGCCAGAAATCTAATTCTGTATCACAACCTCGCACCCTGCCAGTCCTCGCTGGCCCAAGTTTGCCAAGAGCGACGAGCAACGTTGCCATTGACTGCTCCGCTCCTCCGCAACCGAGTCCATGCTTTCTGAGATCTACAGTACAAGGCATCTGCTTGAAGGAACTGGCTTTTACTTCCCAACAGGCTCCGTGAAGCCCATTTCGCGCCCGGAGGCGATTGAGAACAAGACGGATAGCACCACCGAGCTGAGACTGCCACACAAGCCGAAATTGCCGTGTTGAAGCTCACCAGATCCGCTTCACCTGCCCCGACAGACATGGATTCCACTGGACCCATGCTCTGACAATGAAACTCGATGATGGCTTGTTGATGCATCCATGCCTTCTGGTCTTTGCTGGCATAGGTTCGACAACCTCACTGCCAAACGAGAGCACTGGAAAGGATAACTCTCCACCGGGTACATCATGCCTGCCATGAAAGACTTCCATGAATTTTATCAGACTTCGTGCTTGAAGTCCCGACGTCGAAAAAGCAAAATGAAGTCAGCGCCAGACAGTTGCAGAGCCGCTTGCCAGGAACTACTCCTCTCAGAGGCAGGCAGGTTGCACAGGATACTCATCAAGGCTGTCCAATCACAATGCTGTAGGGTGCCTGGCACAAGCTCTCAGGACAGTGTTGTAGCTGACGATGTTGGGCAAAATGTGCAACCACCTGCTTGGGTCAACAGAGCATAGTACTGCCGAGCATTGCAGACCTGTCGGAGGGCGGCAAAACTTCCTCCCAGCCTGCTACCACACATCTCCGACAGCAGCCAGGAAGCCTCCCGCCAGCAGGCCGAGGACGCGAGGGCATCTGTTCAAGACAGAAATGAGGGCCACGCGGCTGTTTGCGACCGTTTCTCTGAGGGCTTGGCTTAACGCGCTGTTAAATGTCACCAAGTCTGGTTCTGGCAGCCCAGGCCTGTCCCCAAGCACAACCACTCACTTCTCACTATCACTTTATCACTTTGCACTGCAGTTTGCCGCCTTCCCTCTGCCATGCTCTGCAGCACAGCCAACGCGGCCTGACAGGGCCAGGTCAAAACAAACACTTCCCTTCGGCAAGGGCAGCAAAACTCGTCCAACGGGCACAGCGAAGCCCTGAACAAAAGGCAGCACGTGCGTCCTGCCAGGCTTTACTGCGAGCACACGCTGTGACCTCCAGCGCGGGCAGCAGGAAAATGCCCAACTGCGCGTCACAGTTCACCGACCGGCCCAAGGCATAGCTGAGGCGAGCTCTGCGGCATTGCACAGCACAACATCCAGCAGCTGGTGGCTCCTCGCCTGAAAAGTTCGGGTCTGCAAAGAATGCTCGCAGTGATGCTGCTTTCATGCGCATGCTCGTCCAACCAGGAGCACAACGTGCAGGTTACACTGATCGACAGCTGCTTACGGCAGTTGTGTGGCTGATGGCTGCCTGATGGCACGAAACCAGTTCCCAAACAGCAGTGCTTCACGGCTGTCACGAGCAGTGTAAGGATGTGTGAGCTAGTGCAAGGTTCCTCCTCCACTTTGTGGATGGCCGCCGCCCAGAGGCCACGACGCCCGAGGCTAGCGACCTCTTCGATGACATCTGTACTGAGTTCGAGAAGAAACACCTTTCTTCAGAGCCATTCAGCAATTCAGATCCAGCAGCCGACCTCCCCGGTAAGCTCTTTCGGCAGCGCTTTTCTCTGCACTCTTCCCTGAGGTAGCATGACCTGCTGCTCGTTGTTAACCCAGTTGTTAGCCCAACCAGCTGCTCAAGTGATGGCTTGTGTACGCATCAAAGTTTTTTTTGCTGTCGCGAGTCACATTCATCAGTCTCTGTGCAGTGTGTGCAGAGACCGATCGCCTGATGCCTCTCTCGTAGCAGTTGCGACTATCTCGACACGGACGTGGTTCCATGCTCGCTGCAGCTCGGATGCCTCAGAGCTCTGCTACCGGGTCTTGGACTGCTAGTTGGACTGCTACCTGGGTGAGAACTGAATCTGCCGGCCCAAGCAACATTCTCCATCCCAAGCCTTTGCAACAAGGAGTTGGCCTGGGGTGAAGCAGTAAGATTTCAACTAGATGGGACCAGCACAAGCACGCTTAGTGCAAGCGAGGCTTCGTTTGCCCACGCACGATCAAGGCGATCGTCGCAAAACATCTGGATGCCAGTGCGGTCAGCAGCTTGGCGTGCAGCAAGTTCGAACCGGTTGAGGGCATCAACGTAGATCCTTGGGAGGGTAGGGATTGCACTTACGAAGCTTGGCTCGTCAAGTCTGAGTCAAGGCGCTGCGCATCGACCCGCACAAGCTTGGACATCTCAGCTAAAAGATCGTCTGGCAGCTCGCTGATAGAGTGATTCGGAACGTAATGGGACTCAGTGCCTTAGATGCACGGGTCCGGTGAATTCAACAATCTCATGCTTCTTCTTTCTTCCGAGCGTCTGATTTGCTCAATCGGTCCTCATTCAACAGTGGGGATGAAGAGCCAAGGTGCACGTCATACGCCAGTCTCGAGAGCGACTGTGCAAAGCCCGCAAACCCTCCCATGATGCAGCTTGGTCACCTTGCTGGCCGCAAGCACGGCCTTCAGGCAGGTGCCCGTGCCTCGACTCTGGGCGCCATTTAAATTCACACAGACGCCTTGCATCATGTTGCCAACTCATGTGAGGCTGCCTCGTGCACACAATACTTAGGTTCCCAGCGTTTCCAGATGGACCAGGCAGAGAGATTCCACGTAGAGCTCAGGCACACCGACAACTTGGACACCTTGTCCGTTCAGGTTCCACTAGAACGAAACAGAAAGAAGCTTATCTCAGTGATTTTGCGAAATGATAAGGACCCTTCGCATAACACATCTGAGGCGTGTGAAGCAAAATCTTCAAAGGAGACATGGCTGCCTGACACTTCAGCAAGGCGGCTTTGAAGCCCTTGCCTCGCGACCTGCGAACAAGTCACAAACTGCATTGTCACGAAGTCTGACAGGTTACTCAGACCATTCGACCGGCAAGCTTTCGGAACAAAGCTTACTTCGCCCTCCTCTTACAATGCGGCTAGCATGCCTTCTGGGCAACAGGGGCTCATGTGCCTAATCCGTCTCGGACTGTCGTAAATGGCCAAGCTCTGCCCTGCTCATGACATTATGGCTTTGCACTGCGCATGACCGCATGGATGATAACTTTGTGTGTCTCTCTTCCCTGCGTCTTCATCCGCTTTTAGACGACCGGACAACGACGATCGGGACTGAAGGCATTGGGGAAACGGCGCCTTGATGTCTGGCTGAAGCTCGTCAAAGGGCACGTAATGGTCCCAGACGCTGGCCAAGTATCCTTGGAGATGAACCAGGGTCGCAGCTTGTCTGATCGAACGAAGCGTGTAGGCGAGTACAAGGGCACATCTGTGCCACAGCAGCCTTTCACACCCATCTGTGCCTAGAGTAATGGGAACAAGCTAGGATGACACGCTCCGAACGGTAAAAAGCCTTCATCGGCTTGCAAGAGGATGAGCAGGATCTGCAGACTTCGAGCAAACGACTACAGGCAGTCAGCGCAATCGAGGGTCTACTCTGCATGTTCCAGGGATTGTAGCAGTTGTGGCTCACCGCGCGAGCCCATTCCTGTGCAAGAAATCAAAGTACAGTCACTATGTGCCATGGACAGCATCGCCAGCAGCCGCCGGTCTGATGAGAGTATCCGGATTCGATGGTCCTTTACAACACCTTATTTGAACTTCCTCCGGTATAGAGAAAACTCTACGCCAAGCTGCCAGTGGATTCTGACAAAATGCAAACACCCGACGCCAACAGCCTACAGCCGGGTCCTTGCTGTCGGGCGGAAAACCCTGTACCGACTCGTTCTTCAGGTCTGTAAAATGTCGAACCCAGTTGTAAAGGCCGCCATAAACACCTGTCGCACATAGAGTTGGAGCTTGAGCTTGTTCCTGTAAAACTGAACCCTCATCTGCATGGTACTGTGCAGCCGGAGAGCAATCACCAACAACAGCTACAAAAACAAGGGATTTGCTGGAGAGACAGGAGGCTTTGGCCCTCAAGTTCAGCTTCCGCGACAGCTCTACATGCACTGTACGGTCAACAGACAAGGTCGTGAAAAGGCACGTCAACCTCGAGAGCCCGCGGCTCGCTCAGACTGGCTAAGCTGTTAACGCAAGAGCACAGCGCACGCTTGCCCGACCAGAGCACTTCATAGCTACAGCACTTAAGACACTATTGCATTCTTTTGCATTCGTCTGCTACACTCTCTGTTGGGGTAATAACAATAGCCACTGGCATTTTTTGCTGGGATCCTGTTACACTGTTACCGTATCGCAGCTAGTTGAACTTTTCAGCTGTGGCAACTCGACTCGTGTCACAAACTGCCTGGTTTGAAAGGGAAGTCCGTGCCGGCGGTGACACGCTTACCCCACCAGTCAAACTTGCACTCCAAAAATTGCGACCTAAGTGCAGCATCATGAAAGCACGAGCATGGACTTCGAAGAGGTGTTTGAATTGTGTAAAACTAGCACCTCGAGTGTGCAGAGTAACGGCACAAGCCACGTCACCATTCGTTCCCAACTGAGGCTTGTGCAGAACATGGTCTAATGGGCTCCGAATCATCCTCATGTCCGCAGCAGGATGCGCAAATTGCACAATCAAGCTCAGATGATGTGCGATCAATGTGCATTGGCAAGCGCCGACATATGCACAAAGAAAACATTTCACAGATCGGCAGCATGCCATGTCAGATGAGTGACACCACGCGAGTCTCGTTCTGCACGTGTGGGGTGCCTGTTATCTTCTGATAGCGATGGACGGTCGACCGCATCTACTCCAAAAGCTACATGCTGGCAGTCGTATCTCGAAATTCTGCGCCAGGTTGCCCAGCAAGGAAAGCTCCTTGGAATCCCAGAGCGACAATGGGCAAATCATGCACTCTCCGAGCCTCCGGAATCAGGCCTGCTTTCACCAACAGCTCTAACTTCGCCAGCAGATGAAGAGCCCACTGCTAGAAGCATTCTGCCAGGTAGGGTTCTCAAACATGAAGCACGCTCCAGAACTTGCCTGTCTGTGCTGGGCAGGTTCAGACGGGCTTCGCCATTGTCGAGAAACGACATGTTGGATGGAATCATGAACATCGCGTCTGCAAAGAAGGAAGTGCCCGCGGTCTTCGGAATGTGGAGGAACCTCAGCCAACTGCCAGCGACCAGCTCCGCATACATGCCAAGCCGAGGCTAGTCGCTGCATCGACAGAGCAAGCTTTGGGTAATGAAGAAGTGCCTCAAAACTTGCTCCATTGTCGTGGCCAGGAGCACAATCTGACGGGCTGATTCGCTCTGCGATGGTTGCACGTTCACGGTCTTGTTGCTGACGCTGTGCAGACGACTCTCCTGTGCTAAAATTCTCAATGGTGGGCTGGGTCAGCTAAGCACGTGACCTTCCAATTTCATTCTACACGCTTTCACTCATGCGGCTTAGCTGGAGCCTACACCAGGACATACACCTTGCAGACTCTGTCATATTGACGAGATCGTGACAGCACAGATATATCATGTGACATCAAAATCAACCCGGAGAATCCAAGACAGACAGAAGCACAGGACAGAACGGAAGGACCGACGGACAGCCAGGCAGACCGGGAGACAGACGGACAAACAGACAAAAAGAGAGAGAGAGGGAGAGAGAGACAAATACAGAAAAAGAGAGCGAGAGCGAGAGCGAGCGAGAGACCGACTGGGAGACAGATTGATTGAAGACCAGGTGAAGCACTAGCAAAATCAAACTGTATGTGATCATCAACGTGAGAAAATGTGAGAAATGACTGAAGATACGGAGTATTCGACATCCGACCTCCTGCCCTTCAGCCCTATATCCGTGCAAACAGACTGTTGTGCAGTCCGACCGTCAGGTAGGCAAACCGATTCTTGCACAAGCCCATGGCAATGCGGCACAGTCGGAGACAGACCGAGAACGCTAGAGAGAAGGAGATAGAGAGAGAAAGAAAAGAAAAGAAAGAAAGAAAGAAAGAAAGACAAGAGACGTCCCACAGCCAGGTAAGTGCACCCGTCTTGTCTCCCCTCCCTATTAGGGGTCGAGATGCTGAGCTCCGAAACCGGCATCAAGCTCAGAGAACCGAGCGGGCAGCAGCAGCGGCAGAAGCATAACGCAGGGAAACGTACGAAAGAACGGAGACGTACAGAGCATGAACAATGCAGCAACCACATCCTGTTTTAGTGCGATGAGTAAAGCTGGGCAGTGCCTCACCGGATCGTGCATGACACTTGCAGCTGAAGCAGACCTTTTCCCTAAGAGCACCCCGAGTAGCCACAGGAGGTGATCTACACAAAGTCACGCCAGGCACCCTCAACCAAGACAGATACTTGTTTGTTTGTATCCAGAGACGGAGGTGGCATGGTGACGCTCCGAGACCTGTGCCACGTGCATCGAAACCTCACTGAACGTCTGCCCAGCGTCGGTCTTGGGACTGCGTTGGGCCACCCGAACCTGTGCCGCAACTGTCAACATCCCGAATGTGAAACCAATGTGCTCTTGAAGCCTGCATGAGCGCCGTCGCCGCACAAGTGCCATCGAGGCACCCATCCTTGCCACACGCATGACTACGTGTCACACTGCACAAGCATGCACGTGAAATTCCGAACTTGTGTGAGGCCAGTTGTCGCCAACTTTCAGGAGCATCAATTTGCAGTTCTGCCACCACTATTGACGCAACTATTGATGCATTTGTCCAGGATTCAGGAGCAACTTGGGTTCAGCCGAGATTCGGCAAAGGACCTTGCGCGGACAAGCCCAGCAGAAGCACACTGCAATCGACATGTTGCCTCTTATCATCACATGGATGTGGGTGCAAATACTGTGCAGCCCAGGGCGCCCATGCGTCACGCCACAGACTCTCACCAGCATACACAGAAGCGTTGTGGAAGACAGGAACGTCATCTTTGACATGGCGGCACGCCGCGAGCCTAATCAAAATTCAAAACCTTTCCAAGCTTCGGTTCACCTTCTCACATCTCTGACGAGAGAGATACATGTAATCTTACACCACACGACGGGTTCGGCTGACCGATGGGGACAGTCCGGGGATGTCCAACGAGCGCCAGCAAAAGACAAGCAAGCTATTGCTTATGCTTCTTTACTATCTAAGAGAGGATGCGGCCTTGGCCTCTCTTTGAGAGAGCCTGCCGGCCAAGCCTCACACGAAAACAATTCAGTGGCACCTGCGAACGTTGAACCGTTCAGCGGCAGCGGCAGAGAAACAAGGCTCGAACTCTCTGTGATGCCGGGAAAGACTGCAGTACCGAGTGATCAAAGGTGCAGGCCTGCATCGAGTTGGAGTGTGCCCTCGCTCTGGGCTTCTCCTTGAAGCGCACTCGCCCATCTCGCTCTGGTGCACTCTGACGGCCCTCGCCTGAAAATACGACGCCGCCGCGAGAGCAAAGTTGCTCTACACGAGGCAGCACTCATGGTGACCACGGCGTGATGCTGATGGCAACAAGTTGCATGTTGTTCCAGCTCAATGTTCTTCGGCAGTTGCTTTGTCTATTCACTAACTCTTCGGCAGGAACTTGCAGGAACCGTGTCCTCCCTCATGCGCGCAATGCTGACAGATGGTGCACGTCAGTACGTGGGAGTTGTGGTGCTTCTTGCGCTAAAGCGACCTTTCGACTCGCTCGATCTATTGGCTGCACCATCAGGATGCATGCTTGCCAAGTGCCAGCACATGCATTTCAGATCGCCATGTCGCCAGTCGCAAACACTCCTGCCCATGAGTGCACGCCATTTCTTCCGCGGGCTGCTCCGCCAAAAGCGTGGCAATGGCGCTGCGGCGGACCTTACAGCAGCTTCTGCGATGCTTGAGTTGCGACTTCGATAGCAACTCAAGACGGGGACGGCAAGGGCCACTTCGAAGGCGTGGGAGGCCTCGGACATCTCGTCCACCTCCTGTTCCGTCACGACCAGCTCGGTGGACTGCAATCGGTGAGGCAAACAGGGCACCTCCCTCTCATCGTCTGACCGCATTGTCTCCACTGGCCCCGGAGGGGGCGGGGGTGGCGGACCTGAACATCGCGCAGAATGCAGGTGTCCTTTTGGCGAACAGCTGCACACAGAATGCGCATAAGCGTTCCACAAGTTTCTGCGAGCTCGTGAAGATTGGGAAGGCTCATCCTGACTCTGTGCACAAGCCGATCACTGGCAACTCCCTTGGCTTTTGGACCGAGAAGCAATTGCGTCACGTGCAAAGCAAAGATGTCGTGCTCCGAAACGCTGTTGCCGCGCTCCTCAGCAAGCACGGCGAAGCCGTGGGCGCAGCCGCGGGCTCAGCGGGGGGGCCCGGCGTGACTCAACGCACTGAAATCTTCCAAGACTCGCCGCGCAGCTCGACTTCAAGTTGCTCAAGGCCTCGCCTGTAGGGCGGCCTTGGCACGGCGCAGCACAAGTGTCACGTGTCTACAAGTACGACCCAAAAGTCGGACACACGAGGTGCGCATGCATCGTCAGATGTGTCGGTTACTCAATCAACTAAGGAGTCTAGGCCTAGGCCAGAATGGAAGGTAGGAGAGACGAGATGGAGGCCCACGATTCCCTGCATCAGGGGTCAAGGCACGGGAAGAATCCTGCAGTTCCCGAAACGAGGTCCGCATCACACGCCCAAGGAAAAAAGTTTCTCGAGCACGTAATCCTGCAACACAGCGCAGCTTTCATGAAGATTCGAGCACAAGCCTGTCTGCGGACATAGTGTAAGGCGGACTGATGCTGGAACCATATCTGAGAATGGAAAGTGCCTATTGGAGCCAAGGCGACACTTCTACAGAAGGAGGAAGTGGGACCAGGGCCCGATCCGAAGGTCCGAGAATGCAAGTGGTGGCATAAGGTCGGAGTGCGGAGCTCTGCTGTCTCCCATCAAATTCAAGTTGCGACGTTGATGTCCGCTTCCAACAAAATACGAATGTCAACAGGGACTGCTTGCACATGGTCAGTTTCGCAAAATCGCGACATGATGGCAGAAAATTGTGCACGACACCGATCACCCCCCCTTTTACAACGGGGGAAGGCTCCCCTCAAGTACTTCTCTAAGCGGGTCTCGGATGCTAACCTACCAGGCATTATGCTGCAGAATTCTGTCCAGCTGTGTCGTGTATAGCCCCTGCGTCGTACCATCGTGCATGAGACAAAGGTTGGTCTCTAGAACACCTGCAATTCTGTTGCGCAAGCAGGGCCGGCTCACGCAGTCGTCTCAGAAGATGCAACGTTGCCTCTGTTTCAATCCGTGCTTCCGACTGCGACGCGACATCAGGCTCAACCTTTAGACGGCTTATGCTGTGGCGGAGCTGGGTTAGAGCCCCCCCGTCGAAACAACAGAAAGAGTTTCAAAAGCACATGTTAATTTTAGGGTATATAAACCCCCCGTCTCACAGCTAATGGGTTGGAGTTTGGGGTTTCGGGGTCTGCTCTGTGGGGCTTGGAGTTTAGGCATAATCCCTACGTCAGAGTTTTTAGGCAGGTGCGTACTACATCCCAGCCATTCCACACCAACAACGCATGTCTACAGTCATGAGTCACGAGGCCCTGTGCGTGCTGAGCGGCAATGGATCGACGTCCATTCGAGCTCGGAGGAGCCGGCAGTAGGCCTCTGAACGACTCTTAGCTCTACATGGCTCCATGGCGAACGCTTGTAGGCTCCATTATGCTGAGTCGGCTGGGTTCATCTGACCGTGACCTGATAGTGAGGGAGGCGGCTCATGCCAAACAATGCAAGTCCAATAATACATCGAGGAAGAAAGCGGGCATGGCTCCAGTGCCTGGACATTGTCTTGTTTTGCTGACCTGCCTTGTATTTCCAGCATGTAAATGCTTGCAGGATCGACCGCTGCACCGTGTGAGGGCCGGTTCTATGAGGAATACCTTCAACTTTATTTTTGGCTTCGGCTTTGGCTAGGGTTGATCACGCCTTCGAACCCACTTCGAACCCAGAATGCAACGACCCTCGGCTACAACTGTGGGATTTCCCGCACACAACAAATGGGGCAGACCATGCAACTTGCTTGGAAGACCCCGCACTGTTGTATCAAAGTTGAATCACGGCTTTCTCATTGCAGGCTTCACCGCCACCCAATAATTGGATCCCTGCCTGACGGAGTGTGTGGCCGTTGCAAACGAAGAAAGCCAGGGCCAGAGTCGGCGAGCGGTTGTGGCCCTCAGTGCTGACTACGGGTCTTCACCCATCCGCCTGCGAACCGGTCAGGCTGCTTCCCACAACCGCGCCTGGTCACAGTGCACGAGCACCACGCGGTCACCGCCTGCTTCTGCAGGTTGCACGGCGGCCTGCAAAGCCTGTTCAAACCCACCAGTGGTGCGAGTCAGTTGACCGTGTGTTTTCAATTGTTGCTGGCCATTACCGCCTTCGTGACTTTCTGCACATACGAGGTGAACAAGGCTTCTCTTGAAACATTGAACTTAATCACCTGCATAGCGTCCCGTGATCAGCAACCCTAGCCGCCCGGTGTATCCGCATGTCCAAGACACACTGCACTTAAGCGCAGCTTCGTGCTGTGGATGCCAGCCTGAAGAGGCTCGGCCAAGTCATGTCTCCTTGGATTTTTGGGGACGACGCCAGGTAAGGCATTTGATCGTGCCTCTACTGAGCACCGGTCAGGTCCAACTTCTCGTCTGGCCGAAGCCAATCGGACATCTGAAAGTACTGAAGCTGAATATCTGCATGGCCGTTCCTGAGCAAATGCAGTGCTACAGGCAAACCATGCAGTCAAGATCACGCGAAAGCAAGTGTCCTTGATGTCGCACATGCCGCATGCATCACGAAAGCTGCAATGAAAACTACATGCATCCGAAATCACACTCTGCTAGCAATGGGGGGTAAGGGCCAACCCCCAGTTTCTTTTTCTGTTTGTGCTTAGGGTGGGTTCCACCCTGTTCTACCGCATCAGGTTCTGTTGATGCTGTGTTGTCACGCGACATGAACGTCCTCACCGCGGCTTCTACGCTAGCCTGGTAAATAGTTTACGCACCATGCAGTTTCTGTGTTGATCGTATTTTAGTCTTCGATGGACTCAGCACCCACTCACTCGCCCCCTAAACAGTAAACGCTCCACGCTAAACCCTCGAGTGATAGACGGAGCGGCGCGCTCAGTCCAGTCGGTGAATGACTAAATGTAACAACAGTTCTCCCAAGGAACCCGGGCTGGGAGTTTCGCTCGTAGACGAAACATTGCTGGCTCCTTCGATGCCTGCTGCCCCCAGAAAAACGCACTCGGAGGTGGGAACCCCACGAAATCAAAAAGGACTTGAAAAGCACTGATGATGGAAAATCAGATGAACTTGAAAATCACACGTTTCGGTGACTACAAACATTAGTGTACACCACACACCCAAGTACATTTTCGAAATCATGCTGTGCATGCCAGGCATCTCCATCTGCATAGTAGTCAGGGCTTTGAAGTTCCGATATGACCCCACAGATATGATGTGGGACACTCGAGCTCCAAGCCTCAGGACTACAAGGCTGGAGACCAACCTTCACCACGAGAAACCAACAACCTCATATGGTGCGTTCCAGTGCGCAGAACCCCGCTTTGCACCGCTGCAGCTGCATTGCTGGCACCACCCAGAGCCAGGGCCGCGCAACCGGTGGGCTCCGCCCATCGCCACAGCTCCTAAGCTGTCCGCCTATGTTGTATTTTCGTCCCAACCTGCAGCACCAGGCCTTGACTCACAAGTGCTGAGCCAGGTGGCACTATAAGATGCAGTGCACGCAGATAGTGTTTGATCAGTGTGGAAGATGATCATCCACATCAACAACATCGTCGACATGATTCTTGAACGGTTAGCACAGCTCGTTTCAATTGAGGCTTCGTGTTGTTTCTTGTTGGTTTGGTGGTTGTTTCTGGTGTTGTTGTTGCTGTTGCTGTTGCTGTTGCTGTTGTTGTTTTTGTTGTTGTTGATGTTGTTGTTGTTGCTCCTGCTGCTG